AATTAATTATGGATATTTTCTAAACTACATAAAATACTGTATTATTATTAATTAAACTTCAATTCTATAACAGGGAGTAAGGTGAGGGATTTTTACCCAAATTAGTATCCGAACGCTAAGTCTTTTGACTGCGCCTACTAGCTGTCTTCAGGTTCTCTGAATTTTTTTTTCGGGATTAAAACACGCTTTAAATACCTAGAAGTACCCCAAAAAATCTAAAATCAGTGTTAAAAATTCTTTTCAGTCAATTCTGAAATTTCAGCACAGTGGCTCCGCCTTGCTCCAGCGACGGCATCGCCGCCCACAGTGGCGATTTGCCTCTCAATTGACCAAAAAAATTCAAAAAATCGAAGCTTACCGACGGTGGAGCTTTTTAGTGTGTCGGCTCTGCTGGCCCACCTTCGCGGTTAAATATTTTGCTTTGGTCAACCTATAGAGAAAGGAATGATAATCACAATAATAGAAAAATTATATGATACGGAAATCGAAAAAGGCCTCATCGGAGGAAGTTTTTATCTTTTCCCGCAGCGGCACCACTGGACTTTGCTCGCGGATTTCGGCTCACCCGCCTATCTTTTTTATCCGATTTGGCCATGGAGGTGTTTAAAATTGAATTTTGAGCAAATAAATTTTTTTTTTACCTCTTTTGGCGGTCAGAAGTTGCTCCAGCATCGCGACAGACGACGGTCAGATCTCTTCCTAGTGACTGGCTCTTCTTCTCCGGTAGAGGGGTATGACGGATAGGGTTAGAGTTTGGTGTGAAGAAGGTTATTTATATTCGTCTCCTTTTAATCTAGGTCGTCTATCACGTTTGATCTGAACCGTCCGATCTTGTTTAAATAGGAAGTTAATCTAAATTGTTCATCGCGATTTGATCTGGACCATCCGATTGTGTTTTAAAGGAGGAGCGGATCTGGACCGTCCGTACGCGCGGGAATAAATTCATACCGTTCAATCGCGGGCACGCAGATCACCAGCTTGACCTCCCGCGTGGCACCACGTCTGCGTGCCTTGTCACGCGACGTGCTCCGGTTCTAATACAGGGCCCTACCTAACGGGTCCATGGCCCCCCGCGCGGTCGTGGCGAGATCTCCCTCTCGTCCCTGCCTTACATTCATTTATTTCTCATATTTTTGCATCAAACTTAAATATATTACCTGAAAGACTTAATTCTGTGTTGTTTGTGTCTACTCCTAGGAGTATGACACTACTGAGGGGAGGTTATATACAGAGCCTGTGTCATAGATATAGCAGGTAGAAAATTGAGTGTGGAGCTAATAGAAATTGACACGGGAGACTTTGATGTAATCTTAGGAATGAATCAGCTAATAGCGTATCACGCCATTGTAGATTATTTTCATAAGAAACTTGTATTCAAACCTCCTAATGGAAAGTCATTCACAAATTAATAAAATTTGTTAACATTTGTTCCCTTAAGGTAATTTTTCTATTACCAAGTACTTTAACCCGTCTGTTTTCTCTAATTAGGCAAACATAAGAAAAAAATTTGTATTCAAGAGATTCCAGTAGTTCGAGACTTTCTCGATATATTTCCTGATGAATTGTCCAAACTGTCAGTGGAAAGAGAAGTTGAATTCATCATAGACTTTCAACTAAACACCCAGCCTATTTCGATTGCCCTTTACCGCATGAGTCAGGTTGAGATTGAGGAGTTAAGGAAACATACCAATAAATTGCAGGATAGTGGGTTCATCTGACACAGTGTGTCCCATTAGGATGCTGGAGTCATATTTATAAGAGAATGGGATATGACGTTGAGGTTATCTATCGACTACAGAGGTATAAACAGGGTCACGATCAAGAATAAGTACCCCCTCCCTAGGATCGATGACCTTTTTGATCAGTTACATGGTGCTCAAGTCTTCTCCAAGATAGACTTGCATTTAGGTTACCATCAGGTAAAGATCAGGGCTGAAGACATTCCTAAAACAGTCTTTCAAACCAGGTACGGGCACTATGAGTTCCTGATCATGCTATTTGGACTAACCAACGCACTAGCTATCTTCATGGATTTGATGAACAAGATTTTTAGACAATTTCTAGTCATTGTATTCATTGATGATATCCTGATCTATTCAAAAAGTAGAGAGGAACACGCTCACCATCTGACTCAGGATTTACAGGTTCTTAAAGAAATGAAGTTGTATGTAAAGCTGAGTAAGTGTGGGTTTTGCATTAAGTAGACTACCTTCTTATGGCACATCATATCAAAGGATAGAGTGTCAGTGAACCCTAAAAAGGTTTAGGCAGCGCTCGGCTAGAAAAAAACTAACCTTAGTCAAGGAGATCCGTAACTTTCTTGGAATGATAGGTTATTACTGCAGGTTTGTGGAAGGATTTTCTAGCCTAACTGCTCTTCTTACTCAACTCACAAAGAAGAACGTGAAGTTTGAGTGGAACGAAAACTGTGAAATGAGTTTTTTAGAACTAAAGAAACGGTTAACTACTGCACCTGTGTTGGTCTTGTCGAGTGGGTCGGGTAGATATACAGTTTATAGTGATGTCTCTTACCTAGAGTTGGGTTGTGTTCTAATGCAACATGGGAAAGTAATAGTCTATGAGTCCAGACAGTTCAAGAATCATGAGAAAAACTACCCCACCCATGACCTAGAACTTACCGCAATTATTCACACCTTGAAGACTTGGCGCCATTACTTTTATAATGAGACCTTCCAGATCTATACCGATTATAAGAGCTTGAAACACATATTCACTCAAAAGAATCTCAACATGCGTAAAAAAAGATGGATAGAACTCCTCAATGACTATGATTGCAACATCTTATATCACCCGGGAAAAAGCAATATAATAGCCGACACACTCAGTAAAAAAAATACAGGCATATTAACTCATTTGATGGTTTCAGAATACAGGATAATAAGGGCCACACAACAATTACGACTTCAGGACCTAAAAAGAACCACATGTTTGGCCCACCTGATTGTTCAACCTGAGTTAATTTAGAGAATAAAGGAAGCTCAGTCTGCCGATTCCACCCTAGCAGCCCTCAAAAAATATGCAGAACAGAGAGTTAATTTAGAGTTTCGAGTCTATGCCGACGGGTTGCTTAGATTTCATGATATAGTGTGTGTTTTAGGTGACAGTGAGTTGAAAAGGGACATCATGACAAATACTCATAATTCAAAGTTTTTCATGCATCACAGAAACACTAAAATGTATCAAAGTATGCGGCCCCGATTTTGGTGGAACATGATTAAAAGAGATGTAGGCGTCTTTGTTTCTAAGTATTTGGTATGTTAGTAGGTCAAGACAGAGCATCAACACCTAGGCAGGCTACTTCAGCCATTACCAATTCTGAAATGGAAGTGGGAACATATCACAATGGATTTCATGACA